TTTTCCGGCCAGAACTAAAAAAGAAAAACCAAAAGTCGACGCAATATCCCAAGCAGGTTATATAAACAGTTAAACACAGAGTCGACAAAAAAAGCGTCTCCTGCGTGCAACAAACCATGAAGACTCGTAACTCTTCCGGCCGCTGGTCGGAGCTCCCTATGGACATATTGAGATCTGTGTTGGAACGTTTGAGTTTTATGGATTTCCACCGGTCGAAGATCGTGTGCTCGAATTGGTACTTGTGTTTGAAACAAACGTTGCTCCCAAAAGCCGGACCTCCATTGCTGATGCTATTTCCAGAGGATGGTGATTGCGTGATGTGCAATCCAAACGAAGATAGGGTTTACAAGTCGAAACACGACTTTTCAGGGTTTCAGTTCCTGGCAAAATGTGGTAAGTGGTTCCTTGTGGTAGATCCTGAATTGAATCTCTCTATTCGAGATTTGTTTAGCGAGACGAAGATCGATCTGCCACCTCTAGAGTCGATCGACGAAGGTGCCACTTATAGCCTTGAGAGAGTAAAAGATAAGGAATTGATGGAGAAAGTATGTACTCCAGATGATTTTGGTAGTCCTTATTGTGGACCTCGAACTACGGAAGATCTGAGAGGTGTTTTGTGGGTAGACGAGGACACAGAAGAGTTAGAGTACGTTGTTGTGTGGCGCTTCGACACTAGCCATTATATAGGGTTTTGCAAGAACGGGTATGATCATCACCTTGGCACTCCAACACACCCCGGTCTTTACAGGAAAAGTATTCGCTAGCAGTTAGTAGGCTTGGATGATATGGTACTCAAAGGAGAGATTCTTTACATCCTTACGCCCGGCAGTTACATTCGAACCCTTGATTTTTCTGGACAAGACGGTTTCAAGGATGTCTCCTACATGGTTCCAATGTATCAGCCAACTCTCACTGAAAGACAACAAGCAACTAAGTTCATCTCACAAAGCGAGAAGATTGCTGTCACAAGATCAGGAGAAGTTTTGATGGTCGATATCCTCGTTTACGAGGACGCTGCATAGGATCTTCCGTCTCTCCAAGAGGGATCCTACTCTAGGTAAAGAACAACAAGATGCAACAAGGAAACAAATCAAGAGGGAAGAAACCATATAGCATCCTTGATGTTTAACTTGGAGAGACCGGGCAAGTGTTTGAGGGTCTTTGTTTCAAGATTGTACACACAAATGTCAAGGCATCTACGTTCCTTTCTGCAGACGCGGTCATCACGGGTGAAATAGATGGAGTTTGGCTCGATACCAAGGGTTTCGTCAGCAGGCACGGTGATCTCCGAATCCAGAAACAGGGCCTCATCACCTAGAGAATCCACCTCGACAAGGTTGCAGTAGTAGTAATTCACCTCTATTGTAGGGTCCCTCTTGAAGAGGTGGAAGATCCGATGCCTTGTAGAGGCTGAGTCCTCGTAAGCGAGGGTAAGGACCAACAAAACATCTCCTGATGTTGTAACAGCAATGTTCTGGCTATATGAGATGATCTTAGTTGCTTTCAATCAGAGCTTGCGTATCCAATGAATGCCTATGCTTGTCCAGACAAATCAAAAATTCGAATGTGATCACGAGTCGTAAGCATGTAAAGAATCTCTCCTTTGAGTACCATATCAACCAAGCCTTTTAACTCCCTGTGAATACTGGTCATGTCAAGACCGGTGTGTGTTGGAGTGCCACGGTGATGATCATACCCGTTCTTGCAAAACCCTACATAATGGGAACTGTCGAAACGCCACACAACAACGTACTCTAACTCTTGTTTGTCCTGGTCTACCCACAAAACACCTCTCAGCTCTTCCGCAGTTCGAGGTCTACAAGGGCGACCACTAAATAATTTCTCCATCAATTCCTTATCTCCTTCTCTCTCAAGCCTAATACGGGCACCTTTGATTGACTCTAGAGGTGGAAGATGGATCTTCTTCTCGCTAAACAAATCTATTATAAATAGATTCAATCCAGGATCTACCACTAGGAACCACTTACCAGAGTTTGCCAAGAATCGAAACCCTGAAAAGTCAGGCTTCGTCGGTTTGTAAACCCTATCTTCGTCTGGATTGTACAACACGCAATCATTATCCTCTGGAAACAACATCAGCAATGGACCGGCTTTTGGGAGCAACGTTTGTTTCGAACACAATTACCAATTCGAGCACAGGATCTTAGACCAGTGGAAATCCATAAAACTCAAACGTTCTCACACAGATTTCAAGATGTCTAGAGGGTTTGTGAACCCTTTTTTCTCACGTTTTAAAAAGGGTGAATTTGTGGGATAATTTAAGAAAAAGGGTTTTACCCTCCACGTCATTAAACTACGGGGTGCTGTAAACTTTTGATATTTTATGGATTTACATAAAATGGATCTCAAAAGAATAGAAAAAAACAGATAAAAAATAATCAATCAAAATTTTTTAGTAATAAATTATATTTAATTCTAAAAAGAACTTTAAATAATTTTGGAAAATGAAAAAAAAAAGAAATTATTTAAAAGTAATTATTTTCTCATTCTAGAGCCAAGACTTAAAAAAAAAAATGTGTAAAAGAAGGCAAAATAATAAAAGAAAGGCTTTAGAAACTTTAAACAAAACAAAGACAACAAATCATGTTTGGCAAAATAAAGTATTTAAAATATTTTATATTTTTTAAAGTCTTAAAAGACACTTGCCAAGCACCACCTACAAGTCAATCCTCCAACTAAGAGTGAACCCGCAATATAACCTTTTTAAATCTGTCAAACCACAAAATTTACATATCAAATCGAAGTCCTTGAAATGAGGAACCCAAATGGCCAAATATACTCTTAAAATTTAGGATCTCTAAAGTTTGTAATCGTAAAAGCTCTTCAATATTTAAGATCCAAAGGGTTAATAAGTCTAGTCATTGATTCAGTTCCTGGAAAATAGTTTGTCACTATAAAAGCAACAGCTCTTGTTGCCCTTTTTTCTTGGCTAGTAAGGAATGGTTTTGCACCAAAAGATGAACTGATAGCCATGATTACAGACTCAATCATTGAAAATCTTGTAGCAAAAGAGGAAGACATGATAGGATGCTCCTTTCCGTTGAAACTAGTAGATACATCTAATGCAGTAGAAGTTGTAGAAAAACAGCTGAGAATAGTTGCCGAACCAGTGCTTGTGGGATATGGGTGGATGAGTTCCTCTATCAGTTCCAAAGCTTTTGTCAAAACAGAGCAGGAGATCGCATTGCTCCAACGCCATGATAAGGTATATTCTTCCGTGGGATGTTCTCGTGAGCTATGATCATTTGATTTTCTACGTTTCTCATAATGATTGTAAAGGGTAGGCTTCATCTGACTGCAATCTACATTGATACTAGATGATCCACTTTTTAATCAACTATTCTGTAGCGCTCT